GATCCAGGTATACAACTCTTGGGCATAAACCCCCAAATGCCTTTACCAATGTGATCTAAGTGAATCTCTTTCATGCAGGTGGATAGTATCTTATTCATCCCCTGTAGAAGTCTTTCTTTCTCTGCCCTGAAAGACAAACAAATAGGTTACACACAGTCTGACCTTACAGGTTATTAGGAAATTAGGGACGACAGTGCCTGTGTCTAATCTGTGGTGACACAACGAACTTAGAGGCCATTACATAGGAGCACTAAGGACTGTCATGATGGGAGAGTATAGCTACAGTAAGAGATGAGGCACAAACTGAGAATCTCTCCACACTATTCCTGAAAGGAGAGCATGGGCAGTGTTTGGAAGACAGTGTATTCCTGGAGCATAGAAAATGTAGGGATTTGATGTGTGCATCAATTAAATGAGAGGGGGCTGTGGGCAGAGAGAGAACCACTGATTGATTGTGTTCATCATGACACCTATAATGTAACTTGACCATGCCTAACAAGAGAAACATGCTTATGATTGCAGAAATAATAATTGGAGAGGACAGGGACAAGTCAGAAGAATATTGAGATTACAATGCCATATAATCAACTGAACAATTTTGCTGATGTCCATGCCATTAGTGTTCCCATTGACTTAAGTTTTCTTAACTCTGAGGTTAAGTAAATCTACCTCCTGCAAGTAGACCGTTCACAAGTATTAAATATCATCCATTAGAAAAGTTGGTTGTAGAATGGCTGGAGACAAGTATGTAAGATTAAAAAATTTCAAAAAATCGCTGTGCCTTGCCAAGATGTGATTGGACCGTTGCATGTGACATCACTTGGATTCCATGTGAGGTAAGATACATATCGTCCAATGAAAGACCACCACCCTGGAATGTCATTTGTCATTGTGCTTCAGAGAAGCAGTTGGTCAAGGTGGAGTGAGCAGTTGGACTCAGCTGTTTCTCTTTTCATTTTGACTTTTCCAAACCTGTGGATCGCGACATAGTGGGTGAGTTTCCCAGGTTTTCAACTTGGCCTTTTGTCACTGGTCTATATATTCCTTTATTTACATCACTGGTTTGCGTTTTGATTTCTGCATGTAAGTTTTTTTTTTTCTCATTTCACCCAATTAACATTTATCAGCTCTTTTTGTATTCATTTTTGTGATTGTTACTGTGTATTTATATATGAAATGCTACAATAGTAGCTGTATAGGATGAAGAATTTAGTCTGAGTCCCATTTCTGCCTATACTGCATTTCGATGTCATTTTCCTAATCTTTTTCACTTTCCCATCCATTGAATGTGAGGAGAAAACCCAAAGGAAGAAAGGTTCTCCCCACTGCTTGTTCAAGACCCTCCAGGAAAAAAATGGGACATTGTTGTTTGTGGAACTGGAATTTTGAAAGTAACACTATCTCCAGTTTCATGATTTTATCATAAACGTATCGGATCATACCTTTGATGACTGATCATGGGACTTGAGTAATGTTACATTATGCTATCTTGTGTATCAGTTTGTGTGAGTGTAGGCATCATGATGTTCCTGTGTGAAGGCTTCTGGATCACGATGTATAGTGTGAATGTGGTGTGAATATGGTGTGAGCTATCTCTCCTGGGCGTTTATCTGAGATTAAGGATTTTCTAATTTCCTAGTCAAGCCATTGCCTTACACTAGGTCCCTTTAAAGTTTTATTCAGTTGGTCTGAGAACAAGGGCAATGCATATCCATGAACATGTTGAAAACGGTCCTTCCCTCACATGTTAGGCTAGTGAAATACTTGGAGAACGTTGCTTTTACATGGTCAGGTAAAGAATTCATCAGTGGATTGTCTCGGTGACTGTAAAAAGTTTTTCTTGATACTCAGTATTTTCAGTGTTTTGTTAAGTTTTGTTTCATATACATTAAGTTTTACTCTCATTTATTATTTCCCCTTGTAGGATATATTTTCTCTTTTATCAGGTGATGGAGGTATGGGGCAGAGTTACCAGAGGGATAGTGATGCTAGGAGTCAAACCTCCTTTCAGAAAAAATGTTGTTAATGTTAATGGACACTCTGTGGTTGTCTGAAGGAGTTTAATCCCATCAGAGTATTTGTCCACAACTCAAGGTTTGTGAGAGGGAGATGGTATAACACCAAGAAAGAGGCTTGGTTAACATGAGACCTGTACTCCAGGACAGAGGAAGGGATCTGGACTTGAGGCCACTAGAAGAGCTCATTGATTATAATCAGGGTGTAGATGGGAGAGGTATTATCAATGTGTGATTGTGTGACAGCAATGAATCTATTTTGACATTTGGGGAAGGAGCAGGGGTGGGGTGTGGATGGAAAACAGCTCTGTTTACTAAGAACATTTATCCCAGGGGGGAATTTGTAAACTGAAAAAAAAAATTTAAAAATCACAATGGCTTTGTTTTGACCTTTGATTGGTCCATCGCATGTGACATCACAGGGAGTCCTTGTGAGGTGTGCTAGTCCCTAGCCAATAAAATTGCATTGCCTGAGACTTGGCTTTGTCTGTACTTCAGAGCATCAGTTGGTTCTTGGGAGAGCAGTTGGTCTCAGTTGTTTGCCATACACTTAGCCTTTTCCCCATCCTGTTGGATCTGGACATAGTGACTGTATTTCCCAATTTTTAGTGTGCTTTTGGCTTTGGCGTTTGACATTTATTTATGCTTTTATTTACATAATTGGTTTGGGTTTCAGTCAAACTGTTTTTCATTTCATACCCGTGTTCTTGTGTATTTTAGACATTTATCGGTATTCATTAACTGTATAGAATGATAAATTTGATCATAACTTTGAAATATTGCTTTCCTCTAATTTGATCATATTATTCTGCTATATTTCCTTTCCCACCAATACTGAATTTCACAAGTATTTCCCACTGTATAAAGGTTATCTATCCCCTTGCCTGATCATGACCTTTGGGAAAGAAACTGTGACACCTGTGTTTGTGGAACTGCATGTCCTGAAGAAGGCATTGCCTTTCACTGATTTCTGGCTATATATAGGACTTACCCCAGTGATGTGTACATGCTATGCTTTGACAATTTGTGCACATTAATGAATGTTTTGTTCCTGGTTAAAGATACCTTGATCATGAGTTATGGTCTTAATTTGGTGTTGAATTTGATGTGCACTGTCTATGATTCTCATTGAGGTTTTCCAACCTTTCAGTCAAGGATATTGCCTGAAAATAAGATCTTTTTAAAATGTCTCATATGGTTTGAAAATTAGGGTAATGTTTCCTTTACGAACAGAACTTGAACTGTTCCTTCCCTTGGTTTGAGAAGTACTGAATGACTTGTGGAACATTGCCATTAGCTGTTGCTGTCCAGTTTGTTGTTCATGAATCCTGGGATTTAGGTTTGCGGTTTCATATTTATATTCATGTTTTTCATTTATATTTATTCTTCTTTCATAAGTACATCCTGGCTGCAGCTTCCCCTCCCTCCAATGCTCCTGTGTCCCTCAGATCTACTGCTTCTCTGTTTCCCTTCAGAAAACATCAGATAGCACCTGAACACAGCAAAAGAAGATGTAATAAGATTATTTTTAAATTTTGCCTTTGTTCTAGTCTTGATCTGACCTTCTATTTACACTTTCATAATTAAAGAATACCCAATTTTAATATCAAAAATTCATTATTTAATTTCTCTGCCATTTCTTTTCTCTTATAAAGATTTTCAGTATTTAACTAAATAATTACATAGTACATATAATATGTACTATGTGTAGTATATATTCTATTTATTATACCAATGATTATTATGTATATTATAACAAAATATATAACAATATTATTTTAATAATCACAATTATTTAATATGTGTGTTATATTACCTAAGCACAAATATATATATATATATAAATTTTGTATATTAACAATAAGTAATTGCATTATAACTTTCATACAGTTCTGTAGTGTACATTGATGCTACTTCACTGTAAAATTTACATACTCCCCCATTGTTTGAACTGATATTATGACTTGTATCATTGCACAGACACCTTCTTTCCTCCAGACGCAAAAGCTGTTCACGTGTTTTGTTTCAGGAAAAACTGAACCTAGAGTTAGCTCTTTCCTACAACACAACAGTGCTCTAGTCACTGTATTGAATGTGGACTCTTCCCCACAGTCTCCTTCTACGCTCTGCTGTTGTTCTATTTGCTTGCTATATTTTCTTCTTAAACTGCCGTGTGAGTCTGTTTGCCTTGTGAAAAAAAGGCTATTGAGTTTGTTGCTGAAATGGATGTGTACTATCAAGACTCTCATCGAAGATTTTTCTCATGTGTGTTCACTTAGTAAAGGAAGTTAACTTGCTGTATTCATTGAACTTATTTGTTTGTGGGATCAGCAGAGTAAGAGTGGCACAGGGAAGAGTTTGGGTGTGTTCCTTTGCTTCCTCTATCTTCATTTATTATCTATCACTGGTCCTCCTATTTCTAGAAAGTACTGAACGATCCACAGAATCCATAATATTTGGGTTCTGCCATGAATGGAGCACTGCTTATTGCAAGTCCAAAATTGTTAGTTTTTGCTCATGTGTTTACATGCTTTCATTTTACCTTAATTCAATATTTATACCTGAGTGGGTATAAATTCCGGAAAATCCCTCAGGACTATAGTTCTATCAGTTACACCATCAATGGTTGTATAATGGAATCTGTGTCTGATCTCCGTTGATGAGCTTGATTGAGCAGTTTGCATTGTGGCACATCCATGAAAATAACTAGCTCATTCTGTCAGGGATCTCAACATGTGCTTTGCACTCCCACTTTACTGACTCCAACAGAACCTTCTTTGATCCCCATCTACTGCTGTGGGTTTGGGTTCTTCAAGTATTTTTATATCAAAGGAGATCATCATTAGGATATCACACATTTCATTAAGAGAATTCAAAACTATAAACATTCCCCATAAACCTACATTATTATTATTATTTTTTTTTAGCACTGTGTGCCTCTTAAATTTCTGAGGAGATAAAGTGGTTGGAATTGAGCATAACACCATGGCCAGCCACATGGAAGAGGACATTCTTGAAAAGGATTTCAAGATGTTACTATCTTTAGGTTCTGGTTCATTTGGGGAGGTGAAGCTGGCCTGCCACCTTCCCACACATACACGAGTGGCTGTCAAGGTCCTGGAGAAAAGCATCAACAGTGTGGCTGACATCAGCAGTGAAGTAAACATCCTTCAGTCTGTAGAACACAGGAACATCGTTCGATTTTTTCACATGATCGACACACTGACGACCACTTACATGATCATGGAATATGTGGCAGGCATAGATCTGGAGAGCTGCGTCAGGGCAGCGGGCTGTCTAGAGGAGGAGGAGGCTAGACCGCTTTTCCAGCAGGTCGTGTCAGCAGTGTACTTCCTCCACCAAAGACACATCGTGCACCGTGATATAAAATTAGAAAACATCTTACTGGACGCAGCAGGAAACGCCAAGCTGTGTGACTTTGGTATGGCAACTAAAGTCACCGAGGGGCAGATGTTGGAGGAGATCTGTGGTTCCTTGCTCTATTGGGCCCCAGAGATCTTGGCAAGGAAACCCTATGATGGAATGGCAGGTGACATGTGGAGCCTGGGTGTCGTTCTCTACGTCCTGGTAACAGGGCACTTCCCATATGTCGAAATCACCCCTGATGGTATGCACCGGCTCATCACCACCACAATGTGTCCCATTCCCCACCACCTATCAAAATCGTGCCACATCATCCTGGCACGTTTACTCATGGTCCCCACCTGGTACAGAATAACAATACGTCAGCTTGTGGAACGACCATGGCTGGGCCACATTCCAGAACACGTACCACCCGACACTAAAGAAATCCTTCCCAGGGTCGTGGAGACTATGTGCAGCATGGGCTATACGTGTAAAGAGATTGTATCATCCCTAAAGCACCGGCAAGCAAATAATGTAACAGCAACCATAAATATCCTCAAATTCAAACTGAGCTGTGGGCATAGCCATCTACAAGATAAGTCCCGGATAAACATGGTCTCTTCAGGTCTTCTCAGCCTCCCTCGGCCCTTGAGGAGAGCTAGTGAACCAGCTCTTCCTGCTGTGGAGAATCATTTTCACCAAGCGCATGTGGAAGGCACAGGCAAGGGATGCAGAAGCTCCCCCATGGTCAGGAGACACCCCTGCCTGGAGCTGATGCCCTGTCCTGATATTAAAGTCCCAGAAAGAGATAGTTCAATGGCTGATATCACCAATACTGCAACAAGGGACATGGCAGTCAACAGGAACTCAGCTGACATTCTTCCTGTCAGTGTCTCTTCTACTGAACCATCCCTGGATGAAACAGCCACTGGGTTTGAGAACATGGGCTTCTCCATAGAGGAGCCATCCATGGGGTCTGACATTCAGAGTGACCAGTCCCAGGTGGCAAACCCAAGATCTGGCACCAGGCCATTCAGGGGCTGGAAACTGATGAGGAAGCACATTTCCAATGCACTGAGGGTGCTGTGCTGCTGCTGCTGCTGCCTGCCCACCCCCAGGTGAGCCTCGACCCCTTGTTTCTGGGGCTTCAGAGGAAGGAGGGACCATGGAGTTTTAAGTGCACTGCAGTAGGTTTAGTCACCCCGATGAATTGTTCCATTGTATTTTCAAGAAATTATTTTACACTCATGTTAAATGACAGTTGTATCCACTGAGAGGGCACAGAATTTAAGATGTCTGGTACGTTAGACGCAATATGCCATAGTTTTCTTTTCATGTAATTGCCTGGAAAATGAGATAGCATAGCATGGGAAGTGCCAGATAGGAAGGAAGGGTGTGATTTTGGCCAATGTGGGCAAAGGTTCAGAATAGCTGAACATTGGTACCAAACCTTGTTCTGTCCAAGTTGCTAATAGAGATGCTTTCATGTTTCCTTCTGCTTTGAAGTGTGGAAAACGAAATGGCCTAGTAGAACACCAACTCTGGTGAGGAGTGACTGCTCAGAAGGGAACCAGGATGGATGGATGGACAGATCTGCAGAATGTCAACACCGAGCTATCCAAGTCACCAGGTTCCTGCATCCATCCTCGTGCTATTGTGTGATGTGCATGTTTGCTTCTCCTTCAGCTTCCTCCAGCACCAGCAGTTGTTGTTGTACCCAGACGTGCTCATTAGGCACGTTTACCCAATGACCCTATCTCCCTAGCTTTTTCCTTTTAGGACCTACAGACGGCATGGCAAATGGCTGCTTCTACATCCAGGAGTGCCTTCTGTACCAGTCTAGGCTGCTCATCATCATTTTCACTTTAGCCATTCCAACTTATTCTGTGACTGTTTTGGAAAGTACAGCAAGAAATGTGTAAGTCCTCTGGGGGAAGGAGATGGTTACTAATTGAGAAACAGGATTGAAGTAGGAAAAAGGGAAATGTGGGGCAGTGTAGAGTAATGAATACAGTCTGTCGGGGGACTTCCTGTCAACATCTGCTATGAAAGAGATAAATGTTTTGATCTCTGACAGGGTTTCTGTACAAGCTAGTGAAGGATCAAGGGTCCCGTGAAGTCCATATTGGGACAGAGATTAGGAGCAGCCAGCAATTAGGTTTACAGGAACTGCTCTGGTCATCCTAGCATGTAAGGTACACAAAAGGATGCTGCCTTGGAAATGTCATCTTGTTATTACCCACTGAGCTAGGATGTTGTTGGAGTAAATGTCAGGTCTTGGCCAGTGGAGTCCCATCTTCCTCTGTTCTGAGTAATCCTGTCTGCCAGTCACTAATTGAGGTGCTTCCATTATTCTTTGGGTGTTTAGTTGGAGGAAATGAAATGTCCCACTTAACACAGCTTCTTGCTGTGAAATAGGAAGGAATTTGGTCACAAATCTGTGTCTTGTGCAGCAAGATGTAAGGGCTACAGGACTTAGTTAGTATCCATCCTGCAACAATTCAGCCTCAGCTACCACATTCCCAAAGCGTTCCTTCCTCTGCCACACTCTCATGTTGTTCTTCATTCCTGAACAGTCACATGTAGCTTGTAGCCAGTTAAGATATACTTCCCTGTTTTTGTGGTCTCGAAGAACCAGGCTTCCATGCATCAAATAGGGTTGCTTCTGTGAACAGGACAGAATATATTCAGCTCTGTGGCATCAATCCTCTTTGATCACTCAGGTCCCTCCAAACTGCTTTCTGATTGTCTTTAGGAACATAATCAGGTAGTGCAAAACCAGTGGGAAATGGGCATTTGAGGTAGCCTCTCCACTATTGCTAAGATTATTACTTGGGGTCTTCCTTGTAAATCTCTGGACAATCCCCAGTGCCAGACTTCTTTTTTAAACCTATAATGGCTCCCTCTATTATGGTCTCTGTTTTCTTTCTCTCCTCTATTCTTCCCCTGACCTTATCCTCATGTCCCAACATGTCCTCCTTCCCCTCCTCTTCTGCCATTCTGTTTCTCTTAACTCCCTCTGTCTTCCACATATGCTCACAATTTGCTCATCAGGTCTTGTCTCTTTTTTCTTTTCTGGGACACAATGTATGACTCTCTTAGTGTCTTCCTTTCTTCCTAGTTTTCTGCTGTGTGGTAGGTAGGCAGGTGATCCTTTGCTCTGTGTCTTGCATACATATATGAGTGAGTACATACCATGTTTGTCTTTTTGTGACAAGGTTACCTTACCTATGATGGTTTCTACTAGTTCCATCCATTTGCCTGAGACTCTCAAGATTCCATTTTTCCCTCTTCCGTGTAGTACACCACTGTTTAAATGTAGTACACTTTATCCATTATTTCTTCAGTTAGGGGTATTTAGTTTGCTTCTAGATTCTGGCTATTACAAATAAAGCTACTATGAATATAGTTGAACAAATATCCTTATTGCATGTAGGTGCATGTTTTGGTTATGTGTGTATGAGTGGAATTCTGGATCATGGGGTAGAATGATTGTCATTTCCTGAGTAACCACAATACTGATTTCCAAAATTGCTGTACAAGTTTTCACTCCCACCATCAAGGGAGGAGTGTTTCCCTTTCTCCACATCCTCTCCAGCATAAAGCATCTGTGGGTTAGTGGTAGTGATTATAATTTCATTCCAGTGGTCTACCTGTCTATTTTTTGCACTAATACCAAGCTGTTTTCAGAACTGTAGCTCTATAATAAATCTTGAAGTCAGGGATCTTTATACATCCAGAAGTTCATTTATTGTACATGTTTGTTTTACCTATCCTGTTTTTTTCCCATATTACATTAAATACTGTTCTTTCAAGTTCTGTGAAGAATTGTGCTGTGATTTTGATGGGGATTGCATTGAATCTGTAGATTGCTTTATGCAAGATTGCCATTTTTACTATGTTTATCCTACCTATCCAACAGCATGGGAGATCTTCCAACTTTCTGGTATTTTGTTTAGTTTCTTTCTTTAAAGATGTAAAATTATCACTATATATGTCTTTCAGTTGTTTTTTTTTTTTTTTTTTTTTTTTTTTTAGCGTTAACCCAAGATATTTCATGTTGCTTGTGGCTATTGTAAAGGGTGATATTTCTCTGATTACATTCTCAGCCCCGTTCTTGTGTGTATATCCTAGGTCTACAGATTTTTTGATTTAATCTTGTATCCTGTCACTTTGCTGAATCTTTTTATTAGCTGTAGGACTCCCCTGTTGCAGTTTTTCGGGTCACTTGTGTAAACTATCATATCATATTCAAATAGTCAAGTTTGACTTCTTCCTTTCTAATTTGAACCCTTTTGATCTCTGTTTGGCTTCTTATTGCTCTCACTAGTACTTCAGGTAGAAAATTTCAAGAGATATGGAGAGTGTGGGCAGCCTTAATGAGTCAAGTCATGTTTACGTGTGTATGTTTTCTGGAAATTTTCAAATACTGACATTCAGTGTGTGCTCTTTGACCCACATCCTCTTCATATATTAATCTCATTTTTGTATTGAAACTGTCATGTGTCCTTTGCAATTGACTTATTAACAGTTTCCCTTTGTGGATATGCATATTTTCAGGTCTGACTTGAGTATCATCCATGGCACATTACTATTTCCTAAATGAGTGACAGAGTTGAGCTGGAGAACATAAGATTGCATTGTACAGAGGCTCATGAGACAATTTGCAGATGGAGGATTTAGAGCGGATGGAGACAGAATGGAGTCTCCATGGGGAGCGGAATGAGTGCTGGGGTAAGAACAGTGGAGACTAAGTGCTATAATTTCAGATTCCCTTTGCGTCCTTTTCATATTTAAAGTGATGAACTTTGTAAATCAGGAGACACAGGGATGTGATTTGCATCTGTGGCCTGAAAGAGCAGATGTAGGAGCCATGTAGGAGTTCCAGATGGGAGTGTGCCCACTTGACCACCATGGTGTGTCTCTGCTCAGAACAGGAGGAGGTAAGTCATTTACCATAGGATTCTCCCCAGGAAACCATAGTTCATAAGGAAAAGTGTTTCAGGGCTGCAATTCACAGCATCCTTGACAGAGGATGCTCTTAGACAAGACCATGTCCAAGGTGCTCATGAATGAACACACCCTGTGCACCAGTCTCAGGGAAATACCTGAGTACTCACTAATTTGTCCATCCCTTCTGGTTTCTGGTCCCAGTGAAGTGTTTTCCCCCTATGAGTGCAAAAGATCTCTTTGGCCTTCTTCCTCTTCCTCTCATCCCAGTGGTTGTGTTTGTAGACTTCTTTTATCTCTGAGTCCTGTTCATCAGAAAGGCCCTGTCACACTGCATACTCATGTAGTTTGTGATGGGGCCTCACTGTAGGGAGTTTTCTCAGGAACATCTTTTTCTCTTACAGGAAACTGCAGCAAGCTGGAGGAAAATGGGTACCACTTTGCATGGAATGCTGGGACTTTGCTCCACTTTGCAAGTGGGTAGAGCTTTCCTTGCCTAGGGAAGAGTGTTCAGATATGGGGTCAGCACTTTTACAATTACTTTGTACCCTGGTCCCACGCTGTAAAGGATTCAGGTGTTGTCAGCCTTTCTGACTAAGAGCTAGGGCTTTTAGCCTGGTTGTCATTTTGTTTTTCCTGCTGTGTTACTTCCTAATTGAAACCAGTGCCTGGGCAAGGGATAATTGCCTCCTGTGGCAGGCCATGTAATCTCTGAAGAGACACCACAAGTGGACCAGGGTCTCCAAGCCCATATAATGGTCTGTAAGAATGTGAATCTTAGAATGTAGACATGATCATGTGTTCAGATATTTACTGTGCCAACTGTTAATATCATTGGTCACTGGAGGGAACATATTGTAGCCTTTATTTAGACTGTTATCTGAGAGAAGTCAGCTAGTGACCAGGCTCTCACACTTAACACCCTTCTTTCTGACTGTGTGCATGATGGAGGCAACAGTAACAGATGCAGTCAATACCAGCTATTTGTGCCTACATCTTTCCACACCCTACCCAAACTTTCCCAGTACTGTTCACCTCCCTGTGGAGAAAATTGAGTCTCTCAGATGCTCAATAGCTTGCTCTTGTGTACAGTTTAAATTCCTTTGACCAATTCATGATAACCTTTTTGGTACCATCCTGGGTCAATTGTATTTTCCAATGTCAACCTCAGAATGCTAATTGGCAACCCTTTCCCTCCTCAGATCTCCAGGTCATTTTAGACATGTTCTGTGACAAACTTCATTTTTACCACATGTGCATCCTAAATCATCTAGGCAAGTTTCAAATGAGGTGGGGTGAAGGAAGCACAGTTCCCAGATATAGACATGTCAGCGGGAAAATTCAACTCCTGAATTCTCGAGCCAATGAACAGCACTTGATCATGAAAGCAGGAAAAACCAATCCCTGCAATCAGAGCTTTCTAAGAGAGCACACTGAGTTCTCCATTAGGAAGGTCATATAGGAAGAAAATGGACATTGACCCAACCTTACTTGTTCCTAAATTGCATCAAAATCAACCTGCTATTTTCTGTATGGCAATGGGTTTAGGTTTGTTGTATAAATCTTTCTGCTAGCATCATCTTTGGTTTTAAATCTGCCTTCTCTTTTAGGTGCCTGGCCACATCCTGTATGATGGACACCAAAACTCCTGACCTGAGGATGTGCACAGAGTTCATTACTGACATTGGAGGAGGAGTGCACTTGTCACCTCCCCTTCTTCTGGAAGACTAACTAGTCATCGTCTGAGCACTTGAGAAGCTCAGAGTGTTCACTCCACATTATGAGGACAATGCAATGGTTGGTCTTCCACCTTTCAAGTTTACTAGACCTGAGGAATCTTAGGAGAGTCTCCTTAGGAGAGTCTCCTTGTGAAAGCCTCCCAGTGGCTAGTTATTCCTGAATCACTGCACAGCTAAGATTCTTTGCATTTTGACAGTGCAGAAAGTTACCCATGCCTTTTTGTACTCACTGACAACACTGACAGCATTCCTAACCTAAGAAAGTATTTAAGAAGAGCCTTGGGAAATGAATGTCCTTCTCTTTCAGATCTCTAGCCTGGATATTCTGAGCAGGGCAGTGTCCACAGACCTCCTCACTGTCATGATCATGGAGAACTGAAGTCACACAGTGGTATTCATAGAGAATACCAATCTCAGTGGTATTCATAGAATTAGACTACAAATAATTCTGTTTTGTTGTTATACAATTTAAATTAAAATCAATCTTATATCGTGTGCCAATCCCTGCTCCCCCTTCTTTCCATTCTCACATTCCTCCCTCCAGTGCCCCATCTTACCCTTTCCAGTCCCCAGGAAGATTGAGACCTCCCAAAGTGATCATCAAACTCTATTACATCATTTGGTGTAGATGTTTGACCTTCCCCTTTTTTTCTAGGCTGTGAGACATCCCCCATAGGGAAAGGGCTCCCAAATCCCATTCATGCAGTAGGAATATATACTGGTTTCAGCTGTCTTAACCTTTGCTCATTCTTCCTTCTTATCTATAACTAGATTTCAGGTGTTCATCTCAGTGTTTACCTGTGTATCTCTGCTCCTGTTTCTATCAGCTTCTCAATGAAGACTGTATGATGGGATTCAAGGTAGTCATCTCTCTCATTATATGGGAAGTTCATTTTAGGTAGCCTCTCAACAATGCTTAGATTCTTATTTATTTATTTATTTATTTATTTATTTATTTATTTATTTATTTATTCATTTAATGTAACCAAGTCCATTAAATGAAAACAAACATAGACAATATTTGGGAATTTGGGCATCTTTCTTCCCAAACTATTTCCTGCTGGTAAGGGGCGCTGTCATGGGGGATTTGAAGAAGATTCAGAAATCCGGCTGTAGTCTGTAAGGCTGCGTATTCCAGCTGTTTTGAATGTAGGATCACCTGGTACTCTGTTTCAGGTGGTCTGGCTTGATGAAACCACAGTAGTCTGGAAGGAATCCACATATTTTCATTTTCTGTGGAAACAAAAATAGAAATCCTTTTTCCCCAGTAACTTGTCCTTGAACTTAAATTTTGGAGTAACAACATTTTTTATAATTTAATTTATTATTTTACATGTAGATCCCAGTTCCCTCTCCCTCCCTCCGTCCTTCCCTCCCCCTCTCTCCCTCTCTCCCTTCTTCCCTCCCTTTTACCCTCTCTGCCCTCTCACATGGACTCTAACCCACCTCCCCTCCCATCCCCCCACCCCAATTCCATATGTAAGGGAATGACATCCAGTTGGGGTCATGTAGGTCTGAGAGGTCATGTGACGTAGGGACTAGGGCTTCTCTCCTGTCTCTAGATTAAGGCAGTTATCCCTCCATGGGTTATGTGTTCGCAAAGTACTATTTTACACCAGGGATACATTCTGGCTCCACTGTCTGAGGTCTCTTAAACTGCTCATTCCTTGTGGCTGAGACCCATATTCAGGGGGGCCTCAGTCAGTTCCATACTGGCATCCCAGCTATCAGTCTGGTGGCCAGTTAGCTCCTCCTTGTTCAGGTAAGCTGTGTCTATGTGTTTCTTCTTCCTGGTCTTGTCTTCTCCGTCTGCATCTGAGTTCTAGTTCGAGTCAGTGTTTATGTATGGGTGTTTGCTCCTGTTTCCAACAGGCATTAGTTGAGGGCTCCATTGATAAGTTAGTTGTTACCACACTCTCTGGGAAGGGCATTATGGTAGCCTTTCCCCGGAAGCTCAAATTGTTATTTGGAAGCAGTCTTGTACTTCTCTAGACCTTTCTTTGTGTTCAATTTTATCTTCAAACCAATATTGGTTCCCTCTTTTATGTTCTCTCTCTCTCTCTCTCTCTCTCTCTCTCTCTCTCTCTCTCTCTCTCTCTCTCTCTCTCTCTCTTTCCTGTCCTCTATTTCTAACCAGGCTCAGTCTTCCTGGTCCCACATGATTTCCTTTCATCCCCCTCATTTTCTCCTACTTCTCTCTCCATTCGCTGCCCCCCCCCCACTTCCCCTGAGCTCTAGGGGACTTGTCCATCCTAACCATGTTTAGATTCTTAATGTGATCATCCTTGTGGCTCACTGGAGATATCCCTCATTAAGGTATCTCTTTTCTGTCTCTCCTCTGTTTTTCCCTAAATCGACCTTCTAGTTCTCTCATGGTCTCCTCTCTCTCCCTTTCTCTCCTCCTCTTTCCTTTCATCCCCCTCTCTACATTCTCCCTATTTACTTGGGATATCGTGTCCATTTTCCCTTTATTACAGGCCAATGTCAGCTACTCTGGGGTAACCTTTTGCTCTGTTTCTAACATCTGCTTTTGAGTGAGTACATACCATATTTTTCTTTCTGTGTTTGGATTACCTCCTTTGTGATGGTTTCTTCTAGTTCCATGCATTGACTAGGAATTTGAATACTTAATTTTTTCCCAGCTGAGTTGTACTCCATTGTATAAATGTATCAAATTTTCTGTATGCATTCTTCATTTGAAAGGTATTTAAATTTTTATGAGTATAGTTAACTTGCTTGGTTGCAATTTTCTTTCCAATATTTTCTGTATGTCTAGATTTGTGGATGTGTATTGTTTTAATCTGGTTTTGAAATGGAATATCTTGTTTTCTCCAATAATAGTGATTGAAATCTTTGCTGGTTATAGTAGTCTGGGCATGTATTCATGGTCTCTTAGTGTCTGTAGAACACCTATCCAGTACCTTCTGGTTTTCAGAGTTTCCATTGAGAAGTCAGATGTCATTCTGATAGGTCTGCCTTTGTAAGTTACTTGACCTTTTTTCTTTGCAGCTCCTAATATGATTTCTTTATTCTGTATGTTTAGTGTTTTGATTATTATGTTTCTAGGGGACTTTTTTTTTTGGTTTGGGTTTATTTTATTTATTTATTTTTTGATCCAGTCTTTTGGTGTTCTATTAGCCTCTTGTGGTTTTATAAGCATGCCCCACATTAGCTTGTGAAATTTGTCTTCTATGATTTTGTTGAATAGATTGTCTCCGACTTTGAGCTCGGCTTTTTCGCCTTCTTCTATTCCTACTATTCTTAGGATTGGCCTTTTCACGGTGTCACATCTTTCCTCGATATTTTGTGTTAGGGATTTATTGCACATAACACTTTCATTGTCTATGATGCTACTTTCTTCAGTGAATCTTCCACATCTGAGATTCTCTGTCCTATGTCTTGTGTTCTTTTTAGTTATGCCTGAATCTGTGGCTTCTGATTGTTTACCTGGACATTGTACTTGCAGCATTCCCTCTGTTTGTGTTCTTTAATGAGTTCATTTCTGCTTTCAAGTCTTGTACTATTTGAATTCTATTTTCCCCATTTCACCGTTGTTATTGTCTTGCTTGAATTCAGGCCATCTCCTCCCCCACATTTCCTGGGAACTCATTTTGTTAGCCCTGAATCTCTGTGGATTTTCTTAACCAGAAAAGGTTTTATAACATCCTTATTCCTGTATTCTTTATGACTCTGAATCCATTTGCCCTATGGTACCAAGGCAGCCACCTGTTCTAGCAGAAACTGGCCCTCTTTAATCATCTTTGCTTATGCTTTCCCTGATCTTAGGAACATAAACTCCTTAGGCCCTTTACTTTCATATGTTGCAGGGTAGCTGGTAGCCTTGCCCATAAGGTTCTCATTTCCTCAATTACATTATGTGTCAGGTTTTATGTCCTTCAGCAAAGCTTTGGCGCCAATATTGAATTTTGCTGTGCTCTTTTTATTCTTAAATTGTATATTTGAATTTCATTTTGCCCTGCTTGTTCATTTTCATTGTAAAACTGCCTAAGAGTGATTGCTAATAACCACATGACCGAGTCACTATCTGGATATTTTAAAATGTCTTCTGCCATTGAGATTAGTTCAAAGCATTTCAGTTTAACCTGAGATGATTCATAGGAGAAGGGTAAAAAGCCGCCACGTACTTTGCAAAAGTACCACAATTATGGTGTCTAGCCCACTTGCTAATACTATTGCATTGGAAACTTCTTGAGCTAGGCCCCCATAGTCCACATTGCTCTCAGCAATATTATCTTTCATTCCTTGAATTAGATGGCTCATTTGGCTCCCAGTTACAATATCCAATAACTTTCTTAATTCAAAGTCCTAAAATCTTCCCTGGTCCTCCAAAACCAGTGCCATCAGTCCTGTCACAGCAATACCACATTGCTAGTACCAACTTCTGTCTTAGTTAGTTTTATATTGTTGTGAAAAAAAAATACAAAAACTACTTACCAAAACACTTTAAACTTGGATGTCATGGTTCCAGAGAGTTAGAGTCCATGGCAGTTATGGTAGGTTGCATGGCTGCAGACAGGTAGGCATGTTGCTAGAGCAGTAACTAAGACATCACATCTGATCCACAAACACAAGGCAGACAGACAGCTAACTGGGAATGACAAAGACTTTTTAATCCAAAAACCATCTTTAAGAGACACCTCTTTTAACCTGGCCATATCTCCTAATCCCTTTAATAAAGTTCGAATTTGGCCAATTTTATGCATATCACAACTATTGCCTTAATTATATCTCAAAGGTTTTGATATTTGTATTTACATTTTTACTCAACTCTTGGGATTTAAAATTTTTTCTTCTGGATTTCTTCAGTGAAACATCAGTTTGTGAACATTATATACAATTTATTGCTATTGATATCCATTTAATATCAGTTATTTCCATTTTCCTTCATTTTAGAAGACTTGTTTTGTTTCCTAATATGGGATCAATATTGGAAGCATTTCAATGGGCTGCTGAGAAAGATGTATTTTTTAA